CACGCAGGCTCACAGCCTCCCGCACGCCGCGACACACCTTCTCCCGGCCGCGCGTCGGCTCCCCACGCCCACAACAGGCCCCCCCCACGCGCGCAGGGCTCGCGCTGACCGCCGGCGCGGACAGTGCGCCCTGACACCCGCACAGCCGACGCTCGCCCGTGCAGCCCCGCACAGGCAGGGCGCCAGCAGCGCCGTGGCCCCACATAACCTAACACCTCACCAGCCCCACAGCGGTCACAGCCCCCTCGCTCCATCTCCGGGGAAATGGCTCCTGCTTCCAGCGCCCTGGCCAGAGCTGAGTGGTGAGATCGCTGCCTGCAGGCTTGGATCCTGACGCAAACACAACCCTCTGAGACTGCCAGCCCCTCAAGCTTCAGGACAGCCCCCAGGTGGCCAGCAAAGGGCAGAGGTCGAGGCACCTGTCTGAACTGTCCTGGCCAACTCCTCTCCCACATGAAGTCTCCCTGGAGAACCTGGGACCAAGGACACCTGTCTTCCCCACAGGCTGTTCCCCAGATGCCGGACCCAGGAGCACCTGGGAGTGTTCTCTTGTCAAAGGCTAGGGAGTTTGGAAAACGCCGCCCCCATCACCCCCGGGAGACTCATGCTCACGGCCACCAGGTCTCTGCCTGCCACGTCCCCCCACCCTCCACACCGTGGGCTGTCCCCAGGGGTCTGCTGGGGGGCAGAGGCAGCGGAGCTGCTACCTGGGGAGTATGGGCTCCCCAAACTCCACTGCCCCTGCTGATGAAATAGCTTGTGCTATTTATCCAAAGGAATTACAATTTTTAGCCAACAGGCTCTGGAAAGCCCAGCAAGAAAGAAACTGGTTTAACTTTACATATCCTGGTGTCATTTCCCAACCTTCTTAACCACAGTTTTTATTGACTTTGTATTATTTTGGGGTATCACCTGTTCCCAGCCAGAGGAAGTACTGACTTCTAGTCAAAACCTTCAGTTCAAAGAGGAAGCAGAGACAGAATCCCACAGAGAGGTCACAGTAGGATGAAGCCAGAGCCCCACCCACGACCCCCCTTTTGTGGTCCCTGCTCAGTGCCCAGGCACACCCCAGAGCCCCGTCCCCCCCGCACACCCCTTCCTCTCTGTGGCCCCGGGGCCCTTGGCCTCTTGTTCTCCTCCTGCCTGCAGCCCTCCTCATTGTGACTACTTTTTTTTTATTACAAAAGTTTATTTTTACATCATTTTGTACATTTTCATTGTGACTATTTTTAACTTGGCCAGGAGACCGGGATGGGAGCCTTAGAACATGAGTCTGTGGTTAATTATTTTCTCATCAAGAAGCCTTAGCAAGGCTGGAAGATAATGCCTAAAAACCAGGGGCCTCCAGAGAAGTGAGGGGACTCTGGGTGTGAGCAGGGAGTAGCTGGGGGCCTGGCACCCTGGAGAAGCCACCTTAGCCCTGGGCACTACACTGCATATTCATATACACAGTTACACACACACACACTAGTTAATGGAGCCTGGTAGGAGGCAGATGGGGGTGCACCCACCTCCCCACAAACCAGAGCCTCCTCATCCAGCCCCTACCCTGCTGGGTGTTGACAGCATCCAGGGTGTAGCCGTGCAATTAAGCACCACCTCCCGACTGTCTGCCTGTGCATCCAGCTACGTTTCTATTGTCTAAATTCGGGACAGAGGGGTCTGTGGTAGGGAGGCAGATCTTGGCCCAGGGGCCCGGGGGTCCACCCCAGACTCACCACCTTGATCACTCTTCTACAACTCAGTTTCCTTGTCTGCAGAAGACAGGTGCTGAGTCATAGCTAGAGAGGGCTGTCAGGAGCAGAGAAAGTGCCCTCAGGACCTGCATTTGACCTTAGTGTCAGCTCCACCTCAGCAAAGGCCTTCCCCTCTCAGGTCTACACCTGTAAGTGGGTATAGTTGTCCCTCTATGCAGGGGCTGCCTGGGAGGGCCATTCCTTCATTGCGCCCTTCCCGTCTGATAGCAAAGCATGCCCACATGCCCTCCGGCCCCGCCGAGGCAAGGCAGAGACCTGCCCACCCACGGACTCTGGGCCAGATAGGTCACTTTAAAGACAGCACAGGTTTTTCTCCCGCTTAAAGCTCTCCAAAGGCTTCCCACCCATCAGTAGGGAATAAAATACATGGACTAAATTTGCATGGAATAAAAGACCAAGCGCCGCCAGACTCTGCCCGCAGAACAGGACCTCACCAGCCCCTCGCTCGCCAGCTTCACTCTGTTCGAGCAAACGGTCAGCTTTTTCCGGACTTTGCCTGTTCTCTCTGCCTGAAATGCTTGCCCTTTGGCTCCTGGCCTGGAGAGCTCCTTCTGGCTCTCAAACCTCAGGTCACGTGTCAGGCTGCTGAGCAAGGAGCACCCAAACAGGGAGCACTCTGCTCCTGCCCGGGCCGCACCAGAGGCCACCCTGTGCTAGTCTTCACGCGTTTCCTGTTTCTCACGTTCTCTCTTTCCCTGCTTCTTGCTTTCTTTACCTGTTTGTGTTTTCACTCCAAGTAAGAGATTTCCTTGGGTATAGGAAAGTGACACAGAGGAGGAGGAGGCGGAGGAGGGCCCTGGGCGGGAGCATCACCTACCCAGCCAGATGACCAGCCCATCTCAGTCGGGCTGCTGACCTGGGCGAGACGCCAAGCCCTCCTCTCCCTTCGCCTGAGGGGCCTGGAGCAGCCGGCGCACTGGCGGGCGATTCACCCGCGACATCTCTGCCCCTCCCTCCTGCCCACTGACCCCACAGCACACACGGGCAGCAGGGCCCTATTCTGCGGGCTGGGGGTGGGAGGGGGTTCCACTGTGGTCTGTCCCAGGCTAGAGGATCTTTAGATGACCGTTTCCATCCACCACAAACAAGAAGGAAACGCTGCCCCTTGCAACAACATAGATGGGCCTTGAGGGCATTGTGCTGAGTGCAAGAAAGATCACCCAGACTGTGCGATCTCACTGATACTGGAATCTAAGAAAAGCCCCAAACTCAGACACAGAATGCAGATTCGAGGTGGCCAGAGGTGGGGCGGGGGGAGGGCGCAGGTGGCCAGACTCCCAGCTCAGAAAGGCCTGCCGGAGGCAGGTACACAAGGAGCCCAGTGAACCTGCTGTCCTGGTGACTGAAAGTTGCAAGGAGAGTAAGATCGTAGAGTTCTCGTCACGAGAAGAAAACTGCGTGCGACCCACCAAATGATGGGCGCTGACTGAACTTCCGGAGACACACGTCCATCCCACGATGACGCTGTACACCCCAAACCAGCTCGCCGTTACACGTCCATTCTGGCTCAGTAAACCAGAGGGAGACTACTGCTTTTGCAGAAATTGGGGTGACCGAGGCCTGAGGCTACTGCGGCTTGGGTGAGCTCCGGGTTCCCCTCCAGCGTCACAGTTGAGTCGGAGACTCCCAAGGCGTCAAAGAGAGGAGGGTGGTCCTGTCTCCCCTTCCCCCAACCCAGCCACCTCAAGATGGAAGAATCAGAAACAGATCACCCCACCGTTGGGTCAATTATAGGGAGATTTGTGCCTGCATGGCCTTGGGCTTGGGCTAGGGGCTGGGTGGGATGGGGGTGTCATCGGGTTGGGGTCCGCGTGTGGCCCTAGTGCTCGCAGAAGACAAGGAAGCAGCCAGAGATCGAAGTTGGGCTTCTCCAACCTGCTTCCCTCACCATGGCTGCGCCCCCAGTCACCCCCTGTCCTCCCTGGCCTCAGCGGGCCCTCCGCCCCACACCCCACCCCTGCAAACCACCCCTGACAGCTCCGGGTTAGGCATCCCAGCTGGGCAACCACAGCCTGGGCCCAGAACTCCAGAGAGAAGGCTGAGGTTTCTTCTGGGCTGAGTCAGGAGGAAAAGGCAGGCGAGCGGACCTGCTGCGGGCCCTGAGTCTGGGGGCCCCCTGGGCTGGCATGTCGTAGTCCTCACAGCCTCCCGGGGCCCCCTGTGGGGCGACAGGCTCGGGTCCAAACCCCAACCCTGCCTGTTCAGGGAGGCCAAGACCCTGGGTGGGACCGAGAAGCAGGGACAATTCGTGCTTTGTGCCTGACTTTAACTGCTTGGCCCAAAGTTGACCCTGGATGACAACAATAGCAAACAGTTCAAGGCTTTTACTCTGCATTTCCCGGCTTTAGCGTCTCAGACGTAGCGACAGGACATAGGGCCTCCCCTCGGCCCCATTTTTCAGGTGAGGAAACAGAGCAGTGGGAGCCATGTGGCAATCTTGCTCGTGAGAGCTGGGAGACCCCCGCCCTGAGCTGGGAGACGCCGCGCAGTGCAGTTCCCTGCAGTGTCTAAGTGGTGCCTGCGGCCAGCTACTCTAGGATAAGTTGCCGACAGGGATAAGAAGGAAAAAATCATCTAGTCTGCCCAGGGCACCAGAAATTCAGGCCAAGAAGAGGCAAGCAAGGAACAGGCAGCAGAGGAGGGGAACAGCCAATGCAAAGCCTGGGGACAGGAAATCGCACCTGGGCTCGCCCTTCCCTGCTTGCTCTAACTTGCACCACCCCGCCATCAGCCCTGGTCCCCGTGAGTCAGCCCCCCGCCCAGCGGCCCAGGGAAGAGACTGAGTGGGCGGCACTGTCGGGAAGGCTGGTGAATAACAAGGTCCCGCTGGCTTTGCAGGAGCTCAACCGGGGGGCTGAACTTAGCCACCTCACGCGAGCCCG